TACAGCACTAAGTATAGTATCTCTCCCTATCTAGGTGATTCCCGTGCAGTAAGTGTAATAACTCGATATGTTAATTTCACAATTTCAAAACATAACTGATATAATAATTTGTTAACTAAAGAAAAAAAAAAACACATCTTTATTGTGTACTCTGCTTACCCTTGAAAGCATATATGTAACTTATCTGAATGAAGCAGTAATGAAATAAAAAAAAAATCACCAAAGATCATCCACGTCTCCTGTGGCAAAAATATCAGCTGGACTCTCTATCAAGTTTTCCTTCGTGGTCTCCTTTTTCAGGGCTTCAATGTTTCCATTGTAAGGAACTTCAGAGACTTCCTTTACGGGCTTCTCCATTGTTGGAGAAGGGTCTTCATCTTCATTTTTCTCTTCCTCCGGCAATTCCACTTCGTTTTTCTCCTCATCCAGCGATTCCTCCTCATTTTTCTCCTCTTCCTGTAATTCGTCTTCGTTCATCTCGCTGTTTTCGTCTTTGGGGAAATTTTCTAAGCTGTTCTGGTCCTCTGGGAATGAGCTATTTACAGGACTGTCTCTGTCTTCAATATCTTCATTAAATGTAGGGCTGTTTGAAGTTCCCTCCGCCATGTTAACAGATTCTGTTTCATTGAAATAATTTGGATTAATATATATATCTTTACTTAAATTCTGCCTTATAAATGTTCATAACAGTTAAACATATGTGTATTCTGCGAGTCTATTAACAAATTCCAAGAAATCATTTAGTCTCAGCAAAGTAAGTAAACACTGAAAATTTAACAGATCATTAATTCCTGATTTAGTCTTAACATCTTTGTTTAAAAAATAAAATTGATATATTACATTACTGAGAGATACAGAGTAACAAATGTCTTCTTTACTTAAAAGGTAATGCAGAGTTTTATTGCTATACACAAACAGTGCCTGCAGCTACTTTAAATTCACTACAATGATATCATCTCTGTTGATGTACTTCTGAACAACAAATAGAAAAGAAAACTTTTTGTTTTATTCAAATACAGTTAACACCATAGGAATTTCTACTTGAAAAGAAAGAAAAAAAGGGGATAAATCTTTTTCATGAACTTTCTTAAACCAAAAAAGGCCTTTAACTGACCCCCATCTCCTGGGCTCCGCCGAGAAACCTTGCGTGCAGACATGAGCCTTGCAGATCTGATTCGGGCCGACCTAGCACGATCTTCCCCTAGCCTGCTGCCCAAGGGAATGTCAGTCTGGTCTTCGTGATCTTGCTTTTTCAGCACAGCTTTCCCTACAGATTTCGAGTTCACGTAGTCCTCCTCCTCGTCTGAGTTGATCACTTTATGGGTGTCTGGAGAATATAAATAATATCAATGAATAACTAACAATTTGAATTTAAGTAAACTATGTTCAAATATCAAATATGTTAGAGTCACTTTAGCAAGTACTCTACTCTACCTAATTATAAAACAATCTTTAAATTCTGTCAAAACAGTAGCAGGTAACTGTAGCATTAAAACAGGTAATTTATCAAGATAAAGTAATCTCTAAACAAACTGACCAATCTTATTCATTATTTTTCCATTTCCTTACCACTTTGAAAAAATTATACATAATAAGTGATCTAGTAAAAAATCACTTGACAAATCAAACATCTCAACATCAAAATAGTGTTAAAAAAAATAAAAAATAAAAGATAAATAAATACAAATCAAATCAAAAGTAAAGGATAAACATTACTCTAACAAAGATAATATAAGCAACCTGTATTGTTGGTCGACCCAGAATTATCAATGGTGAGCTGAACTCCTCCTTTCATGATCTTATTAAGTAAAAGATCTAAATGCTTTTTGAGTTTTGATGTGTCTGCTGGCATCGTAAGCTCTGGGGCAACAGCAGCATCTCTGGATCCTTTGCCTAGCACAGTTCTCAGCAAGAAGGTTACGCTGGCATCAGTCGCTTCCTCCCAGCCCTGACATAATAATTAGAAAGGAATATGTAAATTCTTAAATGGAAGTAAATTATCTCACTTAATTATTCTAAAACACAGAATCAAATCATTCTGCATTTAAACAGCAGCAGCCAATTCACCTAAATTGCTATAACATTAACTACATTACTTTCTTCACTTTATTTGAGCAGATTTGAAACCTGAAGCACGGTACCTGATCCATAGAAGTGTGGACTACAGGTGATATAGCAGCAGAGAGAAGGGCAAAATGCTGGTCAGACAAGCCAACAGACAGACGGACGAGCTCCAAAATCAGTCTTATTGCGCAGCTGAGTTGGCAACCGTCTTCTTCTAGACCCTATAAAAGGAAAAGAGAAAAGAGAAGTCACACTTTTTATTGATATCCAGAATCTGAAGTTATTCCTCAACATAATAAAGTATTTCAAATGATACCGGTTATACAATGTATAATTATATACATAAATTAGGATTTGAATATATAAAATAATTCTATGTAAAAAAATCAACCCCCCCCCACACACACACACAAACTGATGCTGAGAAAACATTTATAATTTCTGCAATAATGTTGATAAATTTTACAAACCTTAACAAAACTGCCAAAGAGTAGATCAACTATGAATTAAACTTAGAACTTCTGTAATATTATCTGCTAATTCAACCTGCATATCCTCACCCTAATGTTATCATTAATAACATCTGTAATCTGTAAGATCTGTTTATAAGTTCCCTCCAAGAGATTATCAAGGTTTGTGAGAGGTGTTGGCGTCTTGTCCTTGAACTTTGTCAACAAACGCCTCTGAACTGCGCGAAATTGAGTGGCTCTCTGCACCAGCTGACCCTGTGGAATAATAGGAAAAATAATTCTATAACAATGAACCATGAGAAGATATAAACATCAAATTATTAATCTTTCTTTATTCATCTATGTTGATAATGTATAAGATTTGATAATTTCACAAAAACATATACTATTCATCATATCAAACATGACATGAGGAGATACGTGCTTGCAAAAAAGATTTGCTGATTTAAGTCCTTGCTCTTACCATTAACTCTTCATGCTTCTTCCTGCGCAGAAAATGTGCATCAATTTCGGAGAAGAGCTCACTGATGGGGAGTGACGAGGCAACACCCAACACCAGTTCTTCTCCATCTTTTCTGCTCGCGTGACCCCAATAGCACTTCAGTCTTCTTACAACTTCACTAAGTATTACCCACACAGAGGGTAAACTATTTTCAAAAAATTGGAAAACATTATCAGTGAATGCACAAACAAACAAACATGTGGAAATCATGCGGCTCTTTTTTTCAATATTTAAACAATATCACATTTTCTTCACCAAACAAATAAATATTTTTAACAACAAGTGAACCTTATCACAGACTCTTCAGAAATGCACACATATTTGTGATCATTTAAATGTGCTACACCTCTTATCAACAAGTTGCTTTAGATTTATATAAATATAGATAACAAAAGCAAAAGGAAGAACAAAATAATAATTTATTAAAAATTCCAGCTTCCTAAAACTACACTTTAACAGCTACTGAAGTCTGGATTAATATTTTACAATCTGATATAATCTAAAAAGCCATAATACCTGTCCGACTGTAGCCGATATCTGTTAGTAGTACGTGATGAGAGTATTGTCACACTTGGGCCCCCAAAGTACTGAAGACCAAGAGCTGTCGTCACACTTCCATCTAAGCTATAATCTGTAACAAATACATAGATCAACCTAAATGCATGGCTATAAGAAACCTACTAGCAAGAAAGATTTATTGTAAAAGAATCCTTTAAATTGCTGAATTAAAAACTCATTTACATTAAAAGCATTTATCATTTTCCTATGTCTTGACTGTAATATCCTTACAGAATGACATATCTATTCAGAAAATTTGCATCATAAAATGTAAGAAATGAAACCTTCAAAAGTGATACTTCTCATAACTCACATAAATCTTTTCACATTAGTGAACATAATAATGAAAGGAAATAATATATACATAACACAAAGTATCACACTACCTTATTACTGGTGAGGAAAGCAATATATTACACATTCCTAAGAATTCTTCTATACCGTATGACTATTACTTGTTTGCTTTTTTAGTGGCTTAACAATGCTATATACAGCAATATGGAAAATTGTACTAATACAGAGCTAAATGTATTGTCTTCAAACTCACCTGGAAATAATTCTGGTAGATTAACAGCTGGCTTGTTTGTTGATATTGTGATTTTGTGATCAGCCTCTTTATTTGGAGCACTGAGCTTGGCCACCAACCGTAGAGGCAATTCCAGCTGTTGGGCATTCATTTTGTCACTATATTTGAATCTATTTGTGAAAAATATTATTCCTAAATATTTCTAACAACATTTCTCACTCTTAAAGTAATTCAGGTGCAAAACCTCCGTAATGAGATTATTTGACTTACATTTGTAGTAATGATTCTTGGTGCACCTGCATGAGTAATGTACGATGTAACAATACCTACAGACAAGCTTGTAGGTATGTACTGGTCAGCAAGGTAAAACTTCACCATAATCTGACTTGTATCACCTGTTGGGATTAAATAATTCATTTCATAATTATAATCACCAGTAATAATTGATTAAAAATTAGAAGGAATTTGTAAGACTGCAGAGTAAAGGAGCCTCCTATAGAAATCTATATAGAGAGTACATCTACATAGGTAAATAAACAGATAAATGTACATAATAATAAATACAACCAGATAAGGAAAAGAAGCGACTACACAGCGTAAGGTCTCACATATTGTCCGAAGAACAAACGTGTCTTGAGTGACAGTCAGTGGTTTCTCTACAGCAATATTGACGCGAACAGTATTGAGAGGCGTGTGAGCTGTGAGCCGAATCACAACTGGGACTGCTGGTACACCCCCATCAATATCCTGAACCCGTGTTGAGCCTGGCCACTTTTCCAGCTGCGTTCCTACAGTTCCTGATACAATGAGATCGCCATCTCCTCGATTCATTCCAACCAATGTGCCTAAAAGAAAAGAGAATTTATGGAATCAGTAAAACTACATTACAGAAATGTCTTTCTGGTTGTCAAATTACACATCCTAGCAGCATATATGCTAAATTGTCTCTTACATACTCATTTATTTATTTATCTATTTATTCCTTTATTCATTCACTATTCATTCATTAATTTAGACATTAATTAATCAATCTATCAATTAAATTTTCTCTCTTTTTCCTCATTTTTTATCTATCTACTTCTATTTACATCTATTTTCCTCTCAAAGCAGACTCTCAACTTAGTAACATGAACCAAACACTGGGACCTGACAATAATAGACAAAGTAAGAAGAATTATGTACCCGTATCCTTTGTGGATGCTTTTATGATCTTGTGAAGCTGAGCTAACTCCTTGTCAGTCTGATCGTAGTTAATTTCCCTCGTCTCTGCAGGGGGAGCCACGAAGAGAGAGGGATCTGTTCCAAGATAAGAAGCCTGCAGCTGCCCGGCATCTCCGAGAAAGACGAGGGCTCCTTTGATACCCTGAGAGCGAAACGTGTAATCAGAAAATGTGGTCTAATTTTTGAAAATTATTTCCTATTAAGAAATCAAACAAAATATCATGTTCAATACAACCTACTATCGTGTGAAAAATAATGACTATGTAATATTTAATGGGATGAGACATTTGAATACATAAAAGTTACATTTCTCTGTAATATATTTTGATTATTATGAGAAACGTGTGGTCTACCTATTCAAATCAAAGTAAAAAAGTGTGATTATAATGGCAATAATACAATTAACAAAAGCACAGAATATAACTCATAACAATTACATTAACTATCAAAATAACTGTAACACGACTAATTTTGGTAATAACAAGAATGGTGATAACAATAATAATAATAACAATATTGATATGAATAATAAAATTAATAACAACAATAACAACAATAATAAAAATAGTGATAATAATAACAATAATAATAATAATAACAATAATAATAATAATAATAATAACAATAACAATAATAATAATAACAATAATAATAATAACAAAAATAATTATATCAATAACAAAAATGATGATGATGATGATGATGATGATGATGATGATGATGATGATGATGATGATGATGATGATGATGATGATAATAATAGCAATACCAATAACAATAATAATAACAATAATAATAATAATGATGATGATGATGATGATGATGATGATGATGATGATGATGATGATGATAATGATAATAATAATAATAACAATAATAATAAAAAAATATATAAAATATAATAATAAAAAAAAAAAATAATAATAATAAGAAGAATAAGAATAATAATGATGATAAAATAATATTGATCATAACAATAATAATAATAATAATAATAATAATAATAATAATAATAATAATAATAATAATAATAATAATAATAATAACAATAATGATGATACAAATACCTTAAAATTACAAAAACTGGAAGCCTCCCATGCTCATCTACCATCTTTACAAATACAAAAGAATCTACATCTAGATTAAATCATAAATTTCATTTCTCCCGAACACTTGGGGTTTTGCCAATTACAAAGAAAAAATAGACAATAGAAATTATGAGTGTGACTTGTGACTTGTGAATGTTAATGAATGTAAGTGTGAATGTGAGTATGAGTATGAGTATTAGAATGAGTATGAGCATGAGTGTGGCAGTGTGAGTGTGAGTGTGAGTCGGAATGTGAGTGTGAATGTAAGTGAGTGGCACAGAGTGGAATGGAGTGGAGTGTGAGTGTGAGTGTGAGTGTGAGTGTAAGTATGAGTGTGACTGGAGTGGAGTGGAGTGGAGTGTGAGTTTAAGCATGAGTGTAAGTATGAGTGTGAGTATGAGTGTGAGTGCGGGCATGAGTGTGATGTATAAAACAATGCAAGTGATTTGGAATAAATGACTGCACATCTGCTTGTATAAATCTAATTGTTCCATGATTCTTAATCATGTTATCATTTTCATGTTTCTACCTTAATAACTACATTAAAGACAGGTTTAATCTAGAAGAAACTATTCATTTAAAAAATGTGGTAGAAAATTGGCAACTATATCTACCTTGGTGTTTATGGCCTATATTCTACAACAGAAGAAAATTCTATGAATTCATCAATATACTTAAATTCCACCTTTAAAATCTTTGAAGCTGTAGAAAAAATGCACAATAAGAACAAAAAATATCTTTTGATCTTTCTCACAAATGTACCTAAATAAAGTCAGCCTTCTAAATCATATCATCTGGATATCTGAACAGCAAAGATAAAACAAAATGAATCTTGAAAATACGCAAATACCCAAGCATGAATTCTAGTTCTGAATATCATTACATATACACTTAAAAAGGCAAGGATGCTTGCCCATCTCTTTTACTAATGAGTTGAGCTGATAAGATCAAAAGACAATATTTGTTCATATAGAATCTAAATCTACAAAGTTTCGATGTAGCTGAGGTAAGAACAATAAGAATTTCTTGCTAAACCTCTTACCCTTAAGAAACGAGGACCCTGTATGTTATAGAAATATGTCAATGCTCGGATACTTGCACACAATACATATTGCATAGAACCTTATTCTATACAGTCTCAATCAAATAATGCTACTAAATTATTTGCATAATAATGTAATATGTACTTACACATTCAATCACTCATTCTTTATGTTATAGTAAAAAAACATGGATTAAATGCATCTGCTTAAATAAAACTATAAAAAATGTTTTGTAGACTACTTATCATACCAATACAAAAAAAATGTATATATATTGTTTAGCATCCATGATGTACTAAAATTACCAAGCCAAACAAAATTGAAGAAAAATTATTAGTGGAGGTCCTGCAGTAACAGATAAACATATAATGTGCTAAGAAGTACTTCATATCTAAGAATCTATAAACAATCAAAATTATTTAACTAAAAAAAGAACAAAGTTCCCTATAGCCCATTTGTAAATGTTCTCTCTGTCAAAAAGGAAGCAAGGTTTTCTCAAAACGGATGATCTATTCATAACTATCTACAACTCCAAGAACCTTATGAGAAGGAAAAAAGAGCAAACATCCGTCATAAACACCCAGAAGAAAGACACAGTTTACATTAGTAATTTCAGTAATAAGGAATACCTCTTTGGTAAAAGAAAGAAATACATAGCTTTCACTCTAGTCCTTAATGCAGATATACTGATTCAAAAAGGATAATGGCTACAGTAAATACACCGATCAACTCAAACAAATATATATGAGCCTAAAAGTAAGTTAAGTGGTAAAAGTGAAAAAACTAAACAGCTAGACATCAACTTACACTCAGAGAGATTCAAATATATTTCAAAGTTATCTAGCATGAGTTTATACAGACAACACTGTGAATAGAAATGTCATATCCTTACCGGAAAATCAGCCCTAGAAAGCACAACAGGTGTAAATGGTAACTGCGATGCCCACTTCAACTCTGCCTCTTTGTACACAAGTAAGGTCTGTGTATGCGTAGCAACACAAAGATACACAGCATTTTCTGTAGAACAAACGCATATCATAAGCATACACTTTTCTGAAGGGAATATGAGCGTGAATGGATAAGAACTCAGAGACAAGACAAAAACCTCAAACAGTATCTTAAATTAGCTACCTACATACCCATAAGATATGCTGTAAAACAGGATGGATTGTATTCCAACTTCTTTACAAACTTCAACACTCCTGATTCCTTATAACAGAAGATTGAATGATGAGTGAGGATAAGGATGTTTGTGGGTCCTTCTGGGGGGTTGACGACAAGAATGTCCAACGCAGGCTCCCCTAGCTGCCTCGTCCACTCTGGGTTCAACCTTCTCCCACCAGTTTTATTACTGCTCATTTCCTTCTCATTGTCTGTTGCCACAGCCACTGCCTGATACCTGAAAAAAAGAGTATGAGAGGAGGATTAGAAGGAGGAGGAGGAAGAGGAGGAGGAGGAGGAGGAGGAGGAGGAGGAGGAGGAGGAGGAGGAGGAGGAGGAGGAGGAAGAGGAGGAGGAGGAGGAGGAGGAGGAGGGGAGGAGGAGGAGGAGGAGGAGGAGGAGGAGGAGGAGGAGGAGGAGGAGGAGGAGGAGGAGGAGGAGGAGGAGGAGGAGAAGGAGGAGAAAAAGAAGGAGAAGAAAGAAGAAGAAGAAAAAGAAGAAGAAGAGAAGAAGAAGAAGAAGAAGAAGAAGAAGAAGAAGAAGAAGAAGGAGGTGAGTACAAATATATACATAAAAGACAATCATAAAACTCAAGGATAATATCATTACAGAAATAAATAAGTTGGTATTAAATTCCATTTAAACAGCGTAAGGCCACAAACAAGTGGAAAGATCTGATAATTTGTCAAAAGTATTTGTCTTTTCCTATTGCTTCTTTCTTTGACCTTATTCTTTTAATTCTAACTTTATACTACACTTCTTACAGCATTCTCGATTTGGTATTACAAGAAAAAAAAAAAAAAAAATAATCCATAAACAAAAAGAATAAATAAAATAATAATAATAATAATAATAATAATAATAATAACAATAATAATAATAATATCAATAATAACAATAAACACATTAATAAATAGATAAAAAATAAATAAACAAAAAATATAAACAAATCAAACATCGCATACTTGTAACACTGGAGTGCCCAGTCGGACCCCACTGTGATCAGGGAGTCAGATTTAGCAACGTAGGCTAGAGGTCCGGGAAGGAGGAATCCCGGCAAAAAGCTACTGAAGGCAAAACTCTCCTGCTCAAAAACGGTGATACAACCATCAAGCGACTGCACGGCTATGTAGTCTTTTCCTTTGACACCACCAAATGGACCTATAAGAGAAAAGAGAGTAATCAAGCATCAGTATAATTTTTAGAGTGAATAAGTAAAAGAGAGTGATTTGAAAGATGCATTTCTAGATACAAAGCAATTCTTTGGTGATACATTTTGTCACCTCCACTAAACTACAGATCTACAGCATTTGTACCAACTACCCTCTTAGTAAGAGAAAGTGTACAGCTCAGACAAGCACCGTTGT